GGCCATGGAGCCATCTTTGTGAAAAGAAACCGTCCATCATTAAACAGGGGTGGAGCCTCCAGGTTCAACTGTCCCCCTCTTACAATGCTGTGATTGCTAGTATCACTCAGCCCTCTGTGAACAGTAAACAGCCATCAGGTGCTAATGATCCATTGTTAGGCTGATGGTCCTTCTTGACCATGTGATCAGCTGGTTCTGGTTGTCAGCAGCAAACTGGTTGATCCACTCTGAGAAGGTGCTATTTAAGAGACTGAGCTGAATACAGCACCTCAGACTGAGGAAGTCCTCAGGATGAGAGATGAAACGTTTCTACATTTTTTGTTGTTTTGCTTTGTTTTTTGTTTTTCTGAATGTCCAGAGGACCAGATTTAACTTTTTTTTGGACAAATAAAGAACCTTGAATCCTTGAAAACTTAAATGTGTGCTTCCCCATACCTTTGAATTTTAGCTGGTCATGAGTTCTTTATTATTATTATTATTATTATTATTATTATCAGGGCTGCCGGTCGGTTCCTTGGGTCTTTTTAGAAACGTCTTGGTTTCGTCCGTGCTTTGAGTAAAGCAGCTTGATACATCTGACTGGCAGCCAATCAGAAAGATGAGCGTGATGAAAAATATTCAAGATTATAAAATATATTTTAAAATAATTAATGAATAATAGATTTGATTTTATTATAGTAATTAAAAAAACAAAAATTACTTAAATATATATATTTTTTTTTTTTGCTTTTTAAAATCTTTCCCCCAGCCTCTCTTGGCAGCCCCCCAGGGGGCCACAGAGGGGCGGAGCTTGAAATACAACCTGTCAGACCTCCTGTTTGATTCTATTTGTATAGACCTGATCCAGGATCAGTTTGGGTGACTAATCCTGAGATTGCGTCAAAGTTTCATTAAAACCGGTTTGTATAAAAACTGAGCGTCGTCTTCTCAAAAACACTTGTCATGTTTTATAAATCATCACCTGAACTCACGAGGCCCATTCGTTGGTAGGACTGAAGAGGACCTGTGACGTCATCAAAGTGCGCCTTCATTCAGAGGCCCTCTGTTTGTTTTGAGTTAGTTATGCGTTCTTAACTTCAAAGTTGAGCTTCTAGAGTTGACGAACCTCGACTCCCTGCATCGTGGTCAGTGTAAACTGTGGAGGACTAGAAGGGACCATGAAGGCACATCTTGGAGTTGTTGAACTTCCAACAGTCTTTGAAAGCATCACAGTTCTGTATTCAGCCTGAGAACTGGACAACACACAGAAACCAGCTGCATTCCCACTCAGAGACCCTCTTCCAAAACCGAACACACCTGTTCTCTGTTCCACAAGTTCAAACGGTTCGTTTCATGTTGTTCTCTTTGTTTGTTGTTTACTCTGAGACACTGACCGGAAGTTAAAACCGCAGAATTCGGACCAGATGGCTAAACCCGCAGCTAACAGCGGAAGTTAGCTCAAGCTAAGCAAAAGCCGGATCCGGATAAGACTCGGTTCCGGAGAGAGTCAGAAGGAACTCGAACCTAACAAGAACTCCTGGATCCGAACCGGAACTCACCGTTTATACCAGAACTTTCATTTCACCAGACGTTAGCTTCCAGGCTAACCTCCTCGGACTGCTGTCCAGCTGCTTCTTCTTCTGCGCATCTGACGGAAATGACGTCATGCTGCCCCCTGCTGGTCAGCTGAACATGACGTATCAACCTTAAATTTAAATTATTTAGATGGTTCAATTCAATCAAAAAACGTTATTTATCCCCAAGGGGACAATTAAAAAAGACACGTAGAGCATACATAAAATAACACAAAATAAAAATGTATAATAGAAGAAAATCCAATACGCATGAACAAGGTGCAAATGGGCAATAAGATAAATAAGTCCTTTTTGCAACTAAAGTCCTGTGGAATGGGCCGATGTATGTGTATGAGGGGTGGGCATAGGGTGTGAATGTATATGTATGGAGAGGGGATGTGTATCTGTAAGTGTATGTATGAATAAAAAAATAAACAGGACCATTTACTACTACTTTTTATAACCGTTTATTGTTGTTGCTGTTGTCCATTGTTGTCATCTTTCTTTGTTAAACCAGGTCTCTCTTGTAAATGAGTCCTCGAGGCTCAATGGAATTTACCTGTAGAAATAAAGGTTGATTGGTATTTGTTTACAGTAAGAGCTGGACAGCCCTGGGCACAAAGGCAGCTCTTCTGCTCTGTGTCCTGCAGGCAGGGCAGCGGAGCCGGCGACCCGATGGACGCCACTCAAATGATGAGAAGAGGACACGTGAAGGGTCCTGTATGATCCGCTTCGATAAGTGTTCATAGACGACAGACGGGGTCCTAAGGGCGTAATCCAATCATTTTAGAACAGACAGTGACAGTCTTCTGCAGGTGGATGCTGTTCTGGATGCTGGCAGAATGAAACCAGCAGGTTATGGAGAAGGTGATGATGCTCTCGATAAAGGAGTCGTAAAATGTCCGGGGAATGATCTTACTTACTCCAAAGGAGTTGAGCTTCCTGAGGAGGTACTGCCTCTGGTGACACTTTCTGAGGATCTCCTCCATGCTGGCAGAGAATTTCAGCAGACTGTCAAAGATGGTACCCAGATATTTGTACTCCTCCACAAGCTCAACAAGCTCTCCATGGATTTATGTGGTGACTGCTGTGGTCAGCACCCTCTGCTGATTGGAAACAGTCGCCATCATATCTTTGGTCTAAATGATGTTCATCTCCAGACAAGAGCTGTCACACCAGTCCACAAACTCCTGTAGAGCTGCTCCATGATGCTGTGAGGGGCCTAACATCAGAGACAGAAGAACTGTGTCATCAGCGTGTTTCACCAGGTAAGAGTTGGGCTGTGTAGATCTACAGTCATCTGTGTAGAGGACGAAGAGCAGCGGAGAGAGGACACAGCCCTGTGGAGAGCCAGTGGAGGTGTGGAGTAAGTCAGAGAAAGTTGAGTTAACCAGCACTCTTTGTGATCTGTGGGTTAAAAAGTCCAGAAACCACAGGATGAGCTGGTCGTTCAGGTGGAAATGGAAGAAGAGTTTATTGGTCAAGATGTGAGGCTGAAGGGTGTTGAACGCAGAGGAGAAATCTGTAAACAGTAGTCTGACTGAGGACTTCAAGGTGTCTGTGTACAGTGTCCACGATGAATATGTTAACATCATCGACACCTCTGCTCGTGCGATATGCAAATTTGAGGGGATCAATCAGAGAGTTTGTTGCTTGAATGACATGCTGTTTAACAATTCTTGCCAAAAATCTTTTGTGCTGAAGGTGAGTGTGCCGCTGCTGGGTTGAAGTGTTGACCTGATCTCTTCCAGCAGAGTGGCACTGTCTTTCTCAAATCTGGTGAAGAAGAGGGTGAGGTCATTAGGAAAGAGTGCACGGCTGCTACCATCCACATGGATGGTATTTCAACAGGTGATGGTGATATTCACAGCGGCCATGTTTTTAAGGCCCTGCCAAGCTGAGTTACGTATATGTATATATACATATATATATATATATATGTATATATACATATATATATATATATGTATATATACATATATATATAT